GTGATGACACCCGAACTAGCAGAAGTGCAGAGGTAATGATACCTGACCTGACAGGAGCTTGGGAGTGAGTGCACGAAGTGGTTATAAAAGGCTCTCTTTCCCCCAAGAAGGAGGTAGGTGATAACTTTGCGCCATCTAGTTTTTATCTTGCCTTTGAGAAAATACTAACTTGAGCTTCGGAGCACTCTCACTGGGTTCCTCCCCGGATATTACTCGCTTTCTTCCCCGTTTCAGGTACCTTTTGCTCCAGCCAGAGGCAAGATTGTTGACAGATATGACCGGCCGGATTGCGCTCCATCACCAGCCATTTGTAAAAGTTATTTTTTGAAGCTTTCATAAACGGCCAACCGTTTATTCACTGTTACGCTGAAGTGGTGCCTAGTGGCACCTATTTGTCATAAACGGTTGCAATTATTATATTTCTGGGTTTTACCAGCAAATAAAGTACAAATGTTTATTCAATAAACATAAACAAAACCAAGCACATACTTTGTCATTAGGAGATGAGACCCTACAAACGCCGCACATGCACATTTCACTTTGCATTGGAAACATCTCACATGCTTATCATGGCAAATGTTCCGATATCGGCTTCAGTCAGTGCAAGACTTGTTCAAATACCATTCGAATAGCTTTTACAGTCTTGCATTGGAAACATCTCTGTATTTCTGTGTTTTATTTCATGTGGAGATATTCCCAATGCAAGGCTATACAGGTTGTTGGAACGGACCTTGCATTGATTGAATCCGGTTTCAGATGTTCCCGAGTGGAGGTGCTGTGGGACACTTGTGGGACGCCCTCTATGAGGCACCGATCTGATCTCTTAGGAGATTTAACAATATACGGTTGGGATGTGCATGTGCAGCCTACGAATTCGCATTATGCACCCTTTGATTAAACAAAAACCAAATGTGGATGGATTGGGCCCAGATTAATGCTAATTTGGAAAGTCGGATGCAATGTTGTCGTTAGTTAGGGGTGTCAACAGTATTGAAAATTCTATTTCAAATTCGAGATTAATCGAATCGAATTCGGATAATTCAAATATCATAGTTGATCAAATTTGGGTATCTTATTCATACCATTTAACTAATCAAATCAATATCAAATATTACCTTATTCAATTAGATAAATATCCAAATTTGACTAGTTATTTAATTTTTATATATAAAAATAAAATATTTAAACATTTTATATCATTTATATATAATATTTAAATTATATAAATATATATATATATATATATTTATATACTTTATATAAATAAAATATTTACTTTATAAATTCATTAATTACCTAAACTAATTAGGTTGTGTTTGATACCATTGCCAATTCTACTGACAAAGTTTTAGATTGATTAATGCATATTTTTGAACAATGATCTTATCACATCACATTAGATAACCACTTCCGTTAAAAAAATGTAGACATTTATTTGGATGTTGTCATTTATAATAGAAACACCAAATTTGATGTAAGCAATGGCACCAAAGCATTTGTGATAGAATATATATATTGTATTGGCCGATGTAAATTATTCTAAGTAAAAGTGACAATGATACCAAATATAACCTTACTTGGTTAAATTTGAATCGAATCAAATACTCAAATACTTAATCGAATTCGACCATTGATTTTTAATATTCGTCGAATATCAAATATCAAATATCAAATTTTCTAACCAAATTGGAATTCAGATATTGTGTGATTCGAATTTTCTAAAGGTGTGCACGGGAAGGAAGCAATTCCTGTTTACCCTGAAATGATGATCAACAAACTCTACCAATATAAATAAATAACGCCTTCTCAGTTTGTTGTGAGAACAAGGAAATCCTCCATGTCACATCTCTCATCTTCCCTAGTGAAACCAATTTATGAAAGTTCAGCACAAAGATCAGCTTTCCTTTCCCTAAGTGAAAATTAAGAGACACTATATTGTAGTCGTTCGTTTTCTCAAATCTTGAAAACAAGCTCTCTTTCCCACCTCTGGCTACAATAAGGTATTGGACTCACTATTCTCATTCCTTGGACTGAAGGCAACTCATCCCCACTGTGGACTTTCTCATGCCATACAAAATCATTCTCATGCTCAAGCCTTCTGAGCATCTCACTAACAACATCCATCTCCTGCCTGAAGACCAAGTGCCATGACTTTTCCCTTGGCATTTTTTCCTTTGAATTTTCCAAAGCACGGCGAAGAACTCCAATTGCAACCCCAACTTGACCTGCAGTTTTCAAATCTTCTGCAAGGTACTTCTGGCTTCTTAATGTGTGTAAGGCTCTGCAAGATGATATAAAGTCCTGCACAAAAGTCAAACATCAATTAGGTGTAAACTCAATTGAATTTAACATCGGAAGATATCCTCCAACAACTAAAGCGAAGAATGAGAGAGGAAAAGATAAAAGATTCAGGCTGTGTTTGGTTGGTTATAAAATATGTTGCAAAACAGTTATTTAAGAAAATAACTTACTTTCTAGTGTGTGATTGCCAGTAAAATACCAAGGAAAGCAAAATATTATCCAAAACTCGAGTGAGAATGAGGTAGGATGACTAGCCCCTTTTCAGATCATAAGTCATTTGATCTGATATTTTAGATAAGATTGTTGACTTTACTTTTAGAAGTTTTACTGTACAGCCGTCTCCCTAAATCACTCTCATCCAATAGAATTTTTATTTCAAGAAAGTTTCTCTCTCCTCCACATAATCCTAAAATCCAGTAGTTCAATCCATGACCTAATTTTCCAAGTTTTTTTTGTAACTTGCAATCAAACATTTAAAAAATAATATTTTGTAAATAATTATTTCCCTTTACAAATATTTTACCTAACAAAATACTTTTCTGGGATCTAAACGTAGCCTTGGTTACTATAATTTCTTTCTTTTCAATGAGTTCTTTTCACTTGATACCTAGCTCACTGTAAGAATGCGCCACATATAAAAAATCCCCTAACACATGATCATTATGATGAGGAAAGCATTGCTAAAACCATTTGCATGATTAAAACTGGACATCTAACCCATGGTTTTATTGAAAGAAACTGTACAGCAAATTCCCAATGCAAATTATTGTTATTTTTCACCAGAATCCAAAAACTACCTAGTTAACTAGAACTCTGATTAAAAGATGGGAACCAAATGAATAGAAGATATGTACCCAAAAAAATAGAAATGAAGATACATGAAGAATGAGGCATAAATTAAAGATCAATGCAATTGACACTGGGAGCAGACTATTTGAGGATGACAAATACCACCTACCAGACAGTAAACGAGTGGGAACAGTTTTCAGGAAATCACAATGTAATGTCATGTCCGACACTTGTCAAATCATGGCTATAATATTCTTCTGTACCCTTATAAAATATAATTACCTGAGAATGAAAGGTTCTGGCATTAGGAATCCAGAAAGTTTAGGGATAGGTTCATGAATCGAAATAGAGAAGTTTTGATGGACTCAGGTCCAAATAAGGATGGAGACTCCATTCAAGGCAAGCTGCTGTTTCTTATTCAAGAGCTGTACATAAGCCTCTCCATAAGTCTCTTTGGCTAGGAAGTTGGAGGAGGCTTTGAAGCTCTGGGTGGATGTGGGATGGGAAAAAGGTCTGTGGATGTCCCACCACACTTTCAGGGTGGCCAAATATATTATAGTATTTCTCCTAATGGGTGGTGTCAATAAATATTTTTGCAAACTTCTTGCAAAGGAGGGAGCAAACCAGGCTGAGTTGTACTTGGAGGCTGCCCTTCCTGGGTAGTTTTATCATCTTATGGGGCTCTCTTTGTATTTGGGTCACTTGATCCATTGACACAGCCCTTTCTCCTGTCGTTCTTATCCTTCATTTTAATAAACCTGCCAGATATGTATTTGTCTTTCATAGCTCTTCCTTAATTCTTATGTTTCCTCTCTTTGTTGATTATCAAAAGAAAAAGTTGGACAAGGACGGAAAACTTCTTAGTAGGTTTTATTAGGTAATATCCATACGAGGAACAATCCTAATATATTAATTATTAGAATGCCAAACTACAGAGGCAAAAGAAGGTTCTCTTGGTCAAAGGACATGAGAACACAAAGTAAAATATGATAACAACAAAAAGACAAAAAGAACACATGGCATTGCTCTTGACATGTTATTTTTGTAATTGTCACACTTATGCAACTTTTTGAGAACCTTACAAAGAAGTACGGTCGTTCACTCCATGGGGAATTACCCTTTTTTCTACGGTAATACAATACATCACACTTACTCTTTTCTCAAAAAAAAAAAAAAAAAAAAAAAAAAGAAAGAAAAAACATGGTTCTGACTTTAAGATTTGAGGATGAAGAAATACAACTGGAAAAATGTGAAACATTAATGGCCCGAAAGACTAATCGTAGTCATCATTGTTATCACCATTATTTCCTCGTGTCAAGTAATGGAAGGAATTGGATTTTTTTCTTTTAATAGAAAAAGTAAATGTAAAAAATCAGCAGTCACTGAACTCCAGGAAGAAATGGGATCAAGGAAAAGGATTTGGGAAACCATTGATAACTTTCACCCTGTAATACAGAATCTATAACAAAAAAGATATAAAAAAACATAATAGAAAGCGCTGAGAGTTATACCAGTCTTTACTATTCACCAAGGAACAAATTTTTAATTACTGACCATATAAAAGGCATGACATACCAGAAACCTCACTGAAATATCTTTGCAGTCCCCCGTTGTAGAATATAGAATACTAGCGGCTTCATCAAGTGACTGTGAAATGCCATGGTGTAGCTTTGCTAAAAGACTTCTAGCAGTTCCCTTTTCTTCTGCTTTTCTTATAGTTACAGCCTAAGCATAATCATAATAGAAACCAAAGCCAAAAAACCAGTAGAACAAACATTAATCCTCTAGTAATAATAAACTAAGAAATAAACATGATAGAAAAAAACTACAATGTTGAAAAAAGATATCAGTTAATAATGGAGTTTTTAATATGGAATGAGCAAATATCATGGTGGCAATCCGGAAAGGCTACAAAGATATAACAATAAAAATGCTAACCTGAGCCTCAGCTAAGCAAATTAGACTCATAATGGAGCAAATAGATAAAGTAGCCTCTGGTATCCTTTCCTGAGCCAAGGCAGGCTGTAATGATGGAAGTACCTTATTAGCCAAATGGTCATAAACTCCAGCTGCTTTTCTGTAAAGAGTGGCAGATTGTACTAGATCTGCATTGGTGCATAGTACAAAGCATGATTATCATCCAAAAACACTTTCAAATAATAACAACAGATAACAATAACCATGATAATGACAACAGCAGCAATAGCAGAACTAACATGCCACACCCTGCCTGGGTACTTAACCAGAGGAAGAATTGGCTAGAGGTTTAATGGAGATTTCAAGAGCTTTCTAGACAAGGCTACAGCTTTCCAGAGAGTATTGTGACACTTCCATGTGCTAGAGAAGTCTAGATAGAGGGGTCTAGACTTGCTCTTGAAAGGGTCTATAAGTGTCTAGAAGACTGGAACATAGATGCCTCTAGAAAAGGTCTATAAAGTTCCATTAGAGATAGAACCATTTCTAGAATATTCTTGTAAGGTGGTGGAGTGCCTATAAATAGGCATGATCTCCCCTCATTTGAAGTTTTGAACCAAGCACCCACAAGAGCTCAAGTACAACAGTAAGCACCCAAAGAGCCATTGTACATATTATATTGTTACTGTGCAATAATGCATTTGCTTACCAAACACCAACCTTGCTGTGGTGTGCATTGGTGTGAGGGACTGGTGTGCAAAAGTGTGCTTGGTGGGTGGGTGTATTTGTGCAAAAATGTGTTCTCTGGCACCCAAGAAAAGGATGATCTTAAGTAAGGAAAGGCCAATTCTACCCATGGGGATGAGTAAAGTGCTGCATGACTTAGGTGAAGGCATGGTTCAGGGTGCATCAAAGGGGTATCAGAGATTAAGTTGGGACATTTGATATCAGAGTTGTGCAGCCCGAGGCTTGTCTCATCTTATGACAAGCTAGCAACACCAAAACAACAACAATAGCAGCAGCAGAAACAACATGATGATGATGTAGAATGTGGTAGAATCAGTGCTACGCTACCTGCTGTTAGAATTTCTGAAGCTCTTTCCCGCAGAATTGCACCATAAAGAAAAAGAACCATGCCAAGCTCAAAGCGTAAGTTATCAATTTGAAAAAATTTTGGACCCATAAGATTGAAGATAGAAGAAGCACAAAGAACACTGCTCCATCTTATCTTAAGGTCTTGAGTCCACTGAACCATCTGCTGATTGTTGTTAACTGATTCCACATGAAACACCAAATTTTCCAACAGTGGCAAGTACCTTTGCAGCTTTTGCAGTTCCTATGACATTCAGAAAAATTAAGTACAACTTTTGTTTAAAAGGAAAATGTATCAACTGTATTAAGGAGGGGAAGATTACAAGATAATCAATGAAGTAAGTATACAGAGAGCAAACATAACCTGTCATTAGTGAACAAAGTTATTGGTCTTAAACAAAAATCAAGGGTACCTGTTCATAGTGAGAGGTCAAACCTCCAGCCATTTCCCTTGCAACAGCCTCTGTAATGAAGCTGCTTTCATTAATGGATTCCTCAATTGCTTTACGCCTGGAACTTAACTCCTTCAGCTGCTCCAATGTACCAGAATCATGTGCAATGAAAATATCTTCGAACACAACCTGTCAAACTCAATTTTATTGATAAAGCCAGTAATCATTAAACTCATCTTCCCTAATAACCTCACCACAAAAAGATCCAAAGAACAAAAGAAGTACTGCATAATGGACAATCCCCTTTTTCCCCACTTAATTAAAACTAAATCTGGTTTAACTATTGCATGCATGCTCTAAGAAAGCTATTTCTAATTCATAGAGGCCCATACATAGGTATCAGATACACAACGATAAATCAACAAATCTGAGGCAATGTCAACTCTTTATAGTTAAATACCATTCCATGACTTTATTAGAAGCACATTTGAAATAAAATCAAGCACATATGATCCAACTGAAATCTTCTTAGTTAGGTATTTCTATAGAAAGCTTTAAGCCTCAAAGAATGAAACTTTAGCTAGCAAAGAGATTAGTGACCATCCTGTCCCATACTCCCATCTAATGTACTTGCTTTTATGGTATGCTTTCAGAATTCACTCTACCGCATGTGTGTTCTTCCAGAAGTAAGAATTGGCAAATGAATTTTTTTTTATAAGTTTGGCAAATGAATTGTTTCTATTATTGTCCTTCTCATTTTCTTGGTTTATTTCAAATCCAGTGCTTCGTACAGACCCCAACTCAATTATGGACTCTTTCTTTGCTTGGAAAGTTAAAGGTATTAGCAAGAAAGGCAAATTTTTTGGTGCATGTGCATATTTCCATTTGTTATCATTTGGACCATTCTGGAGAAGGGAAACAGCCATGTCGTTTAGAGCTGATCAGCCCCTGTAGAGGCATTCTTATAGAAGGCACTTGCATTTTTTTTTTTGAAAAATAAAGCTTTTCCTATTGTACCCTTATATACAGGCCACACACTTAACATGCATCTTTCTTTCCCTGAAGAAGCATTCTTATAGAAGGTAGTTTAGTTGTTGTAAGCAAGCAAGCAAGAAGAAGATATACTTTAATAAGAGAAATAAGACATGAAAAAATATATAAATGTGTACAAATAACACTTGAAAAAAAGATCCATGTTAGATGGTATGATTTGCCTGGATAAAACTGTTGGCATGTAACTGAAACACGAGTAGAATAGGGTGTCAAAAATGCCAAATTTCAGAAAATGAAGTGCCCTCAAATTAACCAGGAGTATAGAATGAAGGAAATTCAAAACAAAAATACAAAAAGGAAAAATGAAAAGAAAGATAGCATTTTGCATGGAAAAAAAGGAATCTATTGGGGATTGGTGATCTTATGTGTAGCATCTTATTGTTTAGGAGTATGTGTACACACAAGTATGCTTCTTTGCCTGAAAATATAATATACTACACTTTCTTTTTTAAAAAACATAAGAAAGAAATAAAGATTGAACATAAGTTAGATGCTTCCCGAAAAACACATGTCTGCTGACCACAACTCTCAGTTTAAAGATACTTGTTTTGACTGAAATAGTTCTCCACAATAGCCTATCCTGCTGGTATTGTTCATGGTATGAAGGCAAGAAGAAGACCTTTCAGTCAATCATAACACCCCGGTTTGTGGAGCTATAAGAATTACAGTGTGACCCCTTCTCCAAGCCATACCCTTTTTTTGAGACTTGATCATGAAATACAGAGTTACATTGCTGGAATTGCTTCAATTTTTGCAATGTAGGTGGACACATTTGTTAGAAAAGATGAGGAAAAAAAGGGAAAAGAAAATGCACCTGATGTAGGATTAATTTAAGTTGTGTATTTGGATTAGCCTCTAAATAATTTGACTCATGTCTTTGAAGGGGCTGGATGAGGTAGGGGAAGATCAAAAAGGGTATGGATTGTAGTAGTAAGAAACGATTTAAGGGCTCAAAATTTAACAATAAATATGGCACTGAAGATAACAGAATGGCAAAACAGGATTCATGTAGCCGACCCCGTATAAAAATCCCGTATAAAAATGGAACCTATTTTAGGAGTTATGGTCATTTACACCAGTATAAATTTATTTCTCTATGTAGATAATTGATGGTGCAAAACATCGTTGCCTCTCTCTCTCTCTTCTTTTCTTTATTGCTCTGCCAATGCTCAAGCTGATAGTCTATCAAAAACTGGGGTGACAAGGCAAAGTCTGCTTTTGGGAAATCCAGGACTTGAATGAATTTGTTATCTGCTTTTAGGAATAAAAAAAAAGACATGTATTGTCAGCTGTTAGCTGCCTGGATCTGTTCTTGCTATCTATTAGTTGGATAGTAAGTTTTTTCTGAATGCAACTTTTTTTCTGTTGACCATAAAAAAATAAAAAAATAAAAAACTGAATCTTGGAAAATTATCCTTTCACCTAAGTGAATTGTAACTTTCCTAAACGGATACAACAGGAGTCTTGTAAAAATTATCCTATGCATCTAAATAAACTAAAATTCTCGTAAATCATAAATGAACAAATTAAAGTGGGGAAGGCAAGGGTTTTTCTTACTCAACTCTACCAAATCAAATTTTGCAATGAGAATGCAAACTAGGACACTATGGCCGCAACCATTTGAGTACCACTTAAACAGTTAAACTTCGCTTTGTGTCTAAGAACTTCCATCTAATGGCAAAACCCAAGAGGAAGCCAATGGCTGAGAGGTGCAAACGTTATTGCTCATTTACCAGATTACCACAACCAGAAAGGTCAAAACTGAATTGAACACTCAAACTGACAAGACCCAATAAATGCAACACCAAAAAACACATTATCAAATAAAAATTTAAGCTAAGCCCTGTTCCCAATTAATTACAATTTAAACCAAGATGCTTACCTTCTTAGTTTTCAACTTGGAAGGGTCCCCGAAAGGCAACATCGTCGTTTCCAAACCAAAATCAATAAAACTCTGTCTTATTCTACCCTAAAAATAAAAATACAAAAAAAAAAAGAAACGAAGAAAAAAAATGCCGAAGATTCTTCAAGACTATGAGGGATCTTCAAGATGTTCCAACTTCTCTCTCCTTTTCCGTTCGTTTTCATACTCGCGCAATCTTTCTTTCATCTTCTCCTGTATTTTAGAGAAACTTAATCACAACCCATCCATCAGAAAGAAAAATCGAGAATATCTGATCGCAGAAGTTTCGCACAATCTAAGAAAAATCCAGATCCACCTTTATAAAGGAAAGGACGGATCATAATTAAAACGCCAATAATTTAGAAAAAGTAATAATGAAATAACGGTAAAACCGAAGGTTTCGACGATGGAACCTTGTAGCTGGTTTCGACGCGGTGCATGACGAAGAAACCAAGGATGCCTCCAAGAATGGTTCCCATGATAATCCTGATACTTCCCCCTTTCCGTGGAACCACCATTGTCGCTTTCAGCCTTCCACTTCCTCTTTCCTTCCCTCCGTCCTCCCTAGGTTGCTATAATAACGACCGTGCACGCACAGACAATACAACTACACTACAATTATCTCTGTAGGGTAGGGAGACTGTTATGACTGAGAGAGACTTGACTATGGATCCTTGACAACTGGTCTTGGGCTCGGGTCCAGCCCATGTAGTTTGGGTCAAGCGTCACGGACCCGTATTAAGATTTTTATTATTAACTAGTAAACATGTTAGTGTCCATGAAAAACCGAAAAATCGAGTCGAACCGAGAAAATCAAACCGCAAAATGCGATTAATCGAACCGGTCGGTTTAGTTTCGGTTCAGAATTTTTGAAAAACCGAAGGACTAGTTCGGTTTTCGGTTAATCTATAAAAAAAACTGACGGTTAATCGAACCGATTGGTATATATATTTATATGTATATTTTATATATATTTTTAATATACGGAGAAGTACAGATACACACGACGCAGAATTCTGAATTCCAGCCCCCCTACTACTAGCCCTCTCCCTCCTATAAACCACATCCTGCCCGTGAATTTGGCATCAATTCACAGTCAGGATGCATTCCCCCTATCACATATTTTCTATGTATTTTATATAAATATGTATTCATTATATATAAATATATACTTATATTATATTTATAATGATCTATTTATAAATATATTATATATTTTTAAAATATTTATAATATACTATATATCATTTATTATTTATAATATAACATTATACATACATTTATATAATATATATTATAAATATAAAAATTTGAAGAACCAAACCGGTCAAAAATCGAAACTGACCGATTACCGGTTTGGTGAAATGAAAAAACCGATACCACCAGTTCGGTTTACAAAAAGGGGCCATGGTTCGGTTAACCGAACCGTGGACACCCCTAAAACATGCACGTGCATTTGCATCTTTGAGACAAAATTATTTATATTTTATGCATAGTTTTTGAACAGTTATAAGTGGACAGATTCTAAAATGAGAGCAAAGAACAGATATGCCTTCTTTATGTCCATCATATGTTTAGATAAGAGAAATAGAAAACGTCTAATAAAATTTCCAGAAATGGGCATTCACTATTTTATAAATAATATATAGATATAAATATAGATTTATGTTAGGTCTTATATTTGATTTTTTTTGTTATATAAAGATTTTTATTTGATTTAAAAGATCGGATCAGGTTTTATTTATAAACAATTAAAGCACTTTATTTGAGATGTCTGAGTTTCTTGTTTAATTTAAAAATAAATAAATAATGCTATCCACACTATAGAAAGTCTTTATAACTTGTCTTCTATTTTAATCAATAAATTAAATTAAAAAATTAATATGATCTCATATCTTTTTGAAGTGGATTTTTTTCATAGGTGGCCACATATTTGAAGTTAACATTTTTTGATAATAGAATTAATTAATTTTACTTTTTTTATGGAGTGGATAAACATGTATCCAAAAATGAAAAATTTTATTTGAGAATAGAAAGAATCACTCTAAATAATAAATAGGGAAATTTCTCAATTAGTACCCTGTATTTTGGGCCTAGTGCCACTGTAGTCCTTGAACTTTAAAACGTGACAATTCAGTCCCCGAATTTTCATAATGTGCCAATTCAGTACCAGCCCGTTAATCAACTGTTAAGTGGCACTTGAAAAGACACAAATATTCTTCAAGTGTCATCTAATTTTCTTTATCAACCATCCAAACGTTGATAAAAAATGAATAGCCCCAAATTCTTGCCTCTTCTATTCAAAAAAGTCGAAATCACTATAAGGTCCATTGAGACGTGACTCTAGTTTTCTTGAATAGAAGAGGCAAGGATTTGGAGCTATTCATTTTTTATCAACGTTTGAATGGTTAATAAAGAGAGTTAGATGACACTCAAAGGGCATTTATGTATTTTCAAATTCTACTTGACGGTTAACACATGTACTGAATTGATACATTTTGAAAGTTTCAGTACTAAATTGGTAAGGTTGGGCAAAGGATGACAATTTTGTGCACAAAACATCCACGTAAATTAAGGTTCCAACTTCCAAGCATCCTTGGATGCACGTACGTCATCGCCTCCGAACCCTCCACAGACAGAAAGTGATTCACTGAGCTCGATCACTCTCAACATGAACCATGGAACATTCTAGCAAGAGCAGCAAAACAACAGACAGAAGTGCATTGCAACGTGAAGGAAGCTTGATATATTGCATTGCAGTCATCTATATATATAATACTTTATTTTTATATATAATAATAACTAAATATAATTTTTAATTTTTTAAAAATTAAATAAAAATATTTTTTTATATAATTTTTTTATTTTTATAAAACATTTTTTTCTCAAGTCGAATTCGAGCTGAACTGAGTTTGAACTTACGAGTTTTTGACTCGAGCCGAGCTCGAACTCGAACTCGAACCTTGTACTACTTTGACGAGCCGATCTTAAGCCTCGTACTATTCGGTTCAGCTCGACTCGAATCCACCCCTAATATTATTGATTTAAATGTAGTTAGTAGTCACATACTCTGTTCGTTGCGTTTGTAACAGTTTTTTCACACGTTTCGGAAGGATGGTTTATATGTTTGTCATGCATATTGGGTGTTTCAATGCTTTCGGACTTTTTTTCTTTGAGATTTTAATAGGTCAATTTTAATAACATTTAACATTTAAAACATGTGTTTCTTGAAAAGCCTTACAAAAAAGTCATTTCTATTAACCCCGATACAATACGATACACTGGATGGTTATGTTTGTAACAGTTTTTTTTCTATGCTTGCTTGGAGTTGGTGGTCAATTTGTTGGGGATGGTTGGGCTCATGTTGTCATGCAAGGCTTACTATCAAACTATGAATTGCACATCTTGGCCCAGCCCTGGCCTGGCCTAGATGTTGGGGTGCTTTGGGTCAGCAAGTGGTTCAGAGGGTAGACCGGCCTTAAACTGGCCCCTCTGAATCAGTTTCGAAAAAATAAAAAGTAATACCGGTACAGGCCAATACAGCCTACCAGCGTATCAGACTGTATCGATATTTTGAACCTTAGGTATAACTACACAAGATTCATGAACGGGCTATTAATTCATCAAGTCCCACCTAAATTCAAGTTTAAATTTTAAATTTAGGTCGCAATATTAAAAAGAATGGATGCAAATATGAATACTTTAACCCTAGTGAATTTTAAATTTTATGGCTTTCAAGCCATCTTTATGAATATTTTCTTATATCTGCCATATTAACCAGAAACAATTATTAAGGAAAATTGTTTAATTAATAACCAAAATCAGTATCTTAAAATATTTGTGAGATTTATATTATTGTTTTAAAACATACAGGTATATATAATTTTCCTACCATTTTCAACATTTTCGAAGTGTATTTCCAGTGTATCTATGTTTTTCTAAAGTGCATGTATCTCTTAATCAACCAGAACTTTAATCAATCAGAACAACCCTAACGCTGCAAATGATATCTGATTATTCAAACTCGAATTCAATCTGGCTTATTATTGGATCAAATCTGGATCTCCCCTTATCTGATCCCATATAATGTGTTTGATTCCATTTAAATATATGTTCATATATACAAAATGTATATTGTATCAAAGGTTCAAAATTTCGACATGATACGTCCCCTATTAAAGTATCATAATGATACACCCCTACAAGGGTCATATCAGGGTGTGACCTGGTTCAGGGGGTAGACCAGCTTTAGACCAACCCCTTTGAACCAGTTTCAAAGAAAAATAAAAGAGGGAGAGCGAGCTTTGATACAGGCCGATACACCCTTTAAACCTTGATTTGTATCAACCGGTAGAATTGGTTTGAATGTTGTAGTTTTACTGAATTACTATATAGGTTTAAATTTCATACAACTTTCAATTCATTTTATTCAAAAAATATAATATGAAAGTCATTTTTAATTATCTTATTAATAATATATAATAATTTTGCTCAGTTTTAATACAATTTATTTATACTATTTAATATCCTATTGCAACCCGAATTTAATTACAACATATTTAAAAAAAATTAATTCCAACATCTACAAATACGATGAATAAGATCCCATTCGAATTCAAATATAAACGAGTTAAATTTGGATCTACCAACATCCGAGTCCGATTTGATTCGATCCATCGGCAACCCTCCTCTAATCCAGGACCAATCTAAAAGTTCTGAGCGTGCAGGTTTACCCAATCAATAAAGTGCCTGGTAAATTGAGGTGATTGTGAAGGTTAATAGTCATTATTAAAAGCACTATCTCGTATAGTCGTATAGCTATAAATGGAACAGTTGTACTTGTACCAAATGTACATCAAATTACATTCTTGCATTAATGCATTATATAACCTCTTAAGGCTGTGTTTGTTTTGATAGAAACTAAACAAAAGTACCAAAAATATAGCCTAAATGACTCACCAAAAAACAAAAGATAATAACCTAAATGAATGTTCGGTTTTCACCACGCAGTGATACAACTATATACTCTTATGACCTTTCAGTTTCTTTCCTGTGAGAATATACAAACTATTTTCATCAGTGCGTGTACAACTCTCTATTACAAGTATGACCTGGTTATGGTTGGTGACCTTAACAGGTACATTCTTCTAACTGTTGTACCTCTCTGCAAGGATGAGGGAAATGGATAAAGAGACATAAACCCAAGTAACTATCGACCACACTGGGGTAAATTTGTATACACCGGTTGAGTATAAACTTAAAACAAACATACCATTTTTTTTTTTATGCACCAAACAGTAGATACGCCAGGGGGGCTTAATCCTCCTCAGCTTCTGCACTTTCCATGTTGACAAGCGTTTTCTAGACATTATCTTTCATTGGGTGGTCCATTCACATCTTTTTTCTTCAATTTCGTGGCTTTCTGTTTCTGAGTGCTCTGCTGTTTGGGTGCGGGCGCAACAAGCATCAGTTGTGACATGACATAGGCCAAGAGTTCTTCCCGGTGAGAGAATGTGAAATCCAAATGGGCATATTCAAACTCCTTGAATGAGACCTCCACGCCTGAATTGTTCATCAATTTATAATGTTTCTTAACCATGGATGATTCTATCACCTTATCCTTTCTCCCAGCAACAAGATCAACAGGCACATCAATGAGCCCATAGTACTCACCTAGATCCAAGGGCTCAGGGGATCCATATACTCTCATGTTGGCAGCTGGGCTCCCATAATCATACATTATGAACTTCCCTGCATGCTTCATCTGTGCTAAGTGAAGAGCAACATAAAAGGACACTCCAGGCATGTCATACACGTTGTAGTGAGGCAACCCTAACACCCCCACCCAATTTGAGCTGTCACCACCCACGACATAACTCATGAGAGTCTGAACCAGACCTCCCAGGGCTGGGTAGTTGTGGAAGTCCCTGGCCAACTTGTTCAGTAACATCCGGAAGAATTTGGTTGGTATGTATATTCCTGGCACAAGGGGTGCCAATATTGGAGCCAACCTGAGAAATAGGTTTTCTAATATTGTAAATACTATGTTGGAGTCACCATGGAAGCCCGCAGGTGATAACAGAATCAACCTTGATAGCCTATGGGGTTTCTCTTCAATCCGGCGTGTTATTGCATACATCAATATAGCTGCCCCTCCCAAACTATGGCAGATCGCACAAAGTTTGTAAGGCTGATCCTTACTGGTTTCTTCTTCAAGACTGGATTGGCTACTCTTCAGTTCGGAGGTTTTAATTTCATGGATCTTCTCTATCATTGCAGGTATATCCTGCGTCCCATGCTCATTGACCGAGTATCTCCAATAACTGCAGGATAAGCAACATATTCAAATAGTACTTAATGGAAATAATGTAATAGAAAGAATAAACCACAATTCCGTCCACATAAATAACTCCTGACATAAGCAACAATTCTCCTCCTGTTCCATTATAATATTTTAACTTTAGTGCTCGTCTTTGACCACTTAGGGCACTCTTATAGTTGCTAAAACATGCCTACTGACCAACAGATTCTAATATGAACACTTACCATCGAGAGGAAATATTCTTGTCAACATGTTCCCTGGAAACCAAACCGCGAAAGTTCCCGAGGAAGACATCATAACCTGCAAAAGAGGGAAAAATTAAATGGTAAGCCTGCTGACATATCAGCAATATTATGAAAACTACGAGCTATACATACCCTGATCAAATGCTGCAAATGCAGGAGAGCCAACAACTCCATTGGACACCCAGCTGAAAAAAATATATATATGAGACGTAAGTAACAGAGTCAAGTTAACAACAGGAGTAAGACCAAAAGCACTACTGGTGAAAAAGTAAATAATAAGAATTCTAAACAAAGCTTTTTCCTAGAATAATTTTCAAAGTTTTATCTGTAAGTAAATTCTGCAAATACAACTCCATCCTTGTTGGGGACTCTTTCTTGCTAACTTCAACATTATTGAGGTGCATTTTGTTGAAGTTCCCTATCATGAGTACATTCATCTAGTGTCTTCCTTTAACATGCTTGATTAAATAGCCGATACGTTAAAATACCAAATTACTATGTAACAAGGATACTGCATTTTTTGAAATTGGACATGACAGCCCAGTGCCATATTCAATTGTTAGATATAGATACATCCCTCGACATTTATTAAGATATAAGTTAATTCATTAAATAGTTATTTTATTTATTTATGGAATTGATATAGTTTTATGTACACAAGATTATTCTATCAACATGCTTTTTATGCTACACTAAGTTAATTCATTAAACAGTTCTTTTATTTCTTTATGGAATTGATATAATTTTATGTACACAAGATTATTCTATCCACATGCTTTTTATGCTGCACATTTACATGAATTAAATTATTCAAGAAACTCATAAGATTCAAATAAATTTTGAAGTTATTTCAGGATTCAGGTTTGTTAAGCCAGTGTTTGAAACTTCATTACAGAGCCCAGCATTAACAGGCATGTTCATTTGGAGGTTACATGGCTCTGAATCAATTTGCTTCGGAATAGAAAGGAACAGTGCAGGAATATGGGGTACGGTTTTCCTTGTTGAAAAAAGTGGGATTGAAATATGATAAGTAGAGAAAACAAAGCCAATGAAGGGTAATGGAATTAACAATTGATCAATTAGAAAAGACAAGGGGTACAGGGATCTTCCATGCACTAGAGTTGATGAAATAAAATAAAAAATACATGATGAAATAACACAAGAGAGGATCAACAAATTATAAAGAGAAATTAGAACAAGATCCAGGGCTGGAAGGGAGAGAACATCAAACGATTCTCAATAAAAATGCACAATTATTTAGTCTAACCCAACATTTTTTCTCATCTTGTTACCTTTTTCCATCAAGTTCAGAAAAGACAAGTCGAAGAGAAAACCATGAGAGATTAATGAGAAACCCAAAAGATGGATTCAGAAGATTATTAAAGCAAAATAGATAATACTTGGAAAAGCCAGTCATCCAGATAACCTGTTCACAGGTAGATATTAGATGCTGACATTAATTTCAGAAATTACACATACAACCTGACTTGTGTATGTTATTCATTTTATGAATGAAAAGATCCTAATGTTTTTATAAGAAGATTGAGGGGGAATGTTTTGCTTTTCTGGAGTGCTGATTTGGATGTGCTAGGGATACCCAGGTTGATTTTTGCTTCTTGGATTTGGTGCGTACGCTTGTTTTCTGGGGGATTAGGTAGATGGTAGGAAGGCCTTTTTGGCTGTCTTTGCTGTGTGGTGTTGGTATCTTGGAAGAGAAGTGGAGTGAGGGATATTATTTGCAGGTCTTGGTGATACTTATCACCTGAGATTATATCTGGTTATCTATCTTTGTTTTTCTTGTTTAATGAATTTTCCAAAAAAAAAATTCTAGTAATGTGTAAAGACAAGTGCACCTTCATGTAGTTGCAAGTAACTTTAGGAAACATGACCAGCAAAAAGATTGATTCTGTCAACATCATGCATCCCTCTTAGAATCAGATTGCATTTAATTAGTGGGCTATCTAGGAAATGTTTGGATTATTTGGTAATAAAATTTATTAAAAGAAAAAGAGAATGATACAAGGAAGGTGACCAGAGATCACACAAAGGAAGTTTTATATGTAGTTGAAGACATTAATTTTGTTTGTAATGGTTTGAATGTAATCCCCCCCACGGTTGATGAACTCTTTAGTTTCTGATG